AATAATAATAATAATAATAATAATAATAATAATAATAATAATAATAATAATAATAATAATAATAATAATAATGATGATGACTAACTATGAATATATCGTTTCATAATTTTCTTTGAATGGCAGCCGATAACGCAAACGCCGCCTCAGTTAAGGAAAATAGTTGCGTCAACGAATAATAATGAAAACATCAATGACAATAACGCCATGGAAATGACTACAGATTTTCAATTGCAAGTCGCAGTTGACAAGGTTAGCGAGATATAATTTTCGTTTTTTCGTGTAAATAGATGTGTGCAAAATAATAATAATAATAATAATGACTAACTATGAATATATGTTTCATAATTTTCATTAAATGACAGCCGATAGCTCAAACGCCACCTCAGTTAACGAAAATGGTTGCGTTAACGAATAATAATAAAAACATTAATGACAATAACGCCATGGAAATGATTACAGACTTTCAATTGCAAGTCGAAGTTGACAAGGTTAGCGAGATATCATTTTCGGTTTTTTTGTGTAAAATAATAATAATAATAATAACGATATCGTTTCATAATTTTCTTTAAATGACAGCCGATAACTCCACCTCAGTTAACGAAAATGGTTGCGTTAACGAGTAATAATGAAAACATTAATGACAATACCGCCATGGAAATGACTACAGACTTTCAATTGCAAGTCGAAGTTGACAAGGTTAGCGAGATATCATTTCGTTTTTTTTATGTAAACAGATAGCGTGGGAAATAATAGTAATAATAATAACAATAATGATAATGATAATGACTAACTATGAATATATCGTTTCATAATTTTCTTTAAATGACAGCCGGTAACTCAAACGCCGCCTCAGTTAAGGTCAACGAATAATGATGAAAACATCAATGACAATACCGCCACGGAAATGACTACAGACTTTCAATTGCAAGTCATTAAGAGCGCAGTTGATGAATGTTTGCAAGAGTTTCGGACATCAATACGCAATGATATACAAAACATGCATTTAGAGTTATTGCGACAATTTCATATTCAAAAGGTAGAGAATGTTTCATTTCGTCTTTTTTTTTCTTTGTACATTTATTAAACTTAAGATATACATATACCAGACTGAAATGGAAATGATGTTTTTGAAATATTGTGGAGAAACATTGTCGCTTCGTGAAGAACTTGAACGACTTCGAGAAGAAAATGAAAGGTTAAAAATGAAACTTTGAATTAATCATGACCCGGGTAAACCCGCGGGTCAAATGATAATTATAATATAAAATTAATAAAATATTTGATGAATTGCACAAAACTGATTCATAACATGCCAGTATAATATAATACATTTCTAACTCTTTTTAAACAACTCAAGTGCCTAGTTACATTACCTAATTTTTCATATCAGATATTTTTCTCTTTCTGCATATACTGTAACAAAATTATCATCTCATGAATATCATTATATGAAAGAATTTTAATTTAAAACTCAATTATAATCTATGGATACTATTTAAAAAAATTGATATGTTGATGCTCGATTAGCAGAAGGGAACACCCAAATGTATTTCCGTAGTAAATCACCAAAAATGAGACAAAACAAAAAGCTGCTCGATACGTAAGTATCGAAGCAGCTTTTGTCTCGAATCATCACGAGACCAACATGTGATATCTCCGAATATGTTCGGTCTAATGATCGATCAAGTGATCGAACAGTGATGTTAGTATGAAGTAATCCTTACATGGATGAGGTAATGGGAAAGTTTGAATAATTAGTTGAGTTAAACCGAAATTAGAAAGACATTTAACCCTAATTTTTTTTTTAATAAAAAAATTCTTTATTTTTGTTTATTAAAACAAAATTTAAATTAAGAAACCATTCTCTGCGACCTAGTTAAAAATGCTCTTTCTAACTCTAACCCTAACCCAGGGGGAAGCAATTTTTGTGGGTGCGCTACCTAAAAAGTTAAGCAACGTTGATCTCAACGTTAACCTAACGTTGACCTAAAAGAACCAAAATAATGCGAAGAAAGCATCACCAAAACGACGAAGAGACCACCAAAAGAACGACGAAAGAGCCACAAAGAAGTAACGAAAGAATACCAGAAAAGCACGAAAGAAAACGTTAACCTAAAAAAAAAGAACGTGAATAAGTATTAAAAAGAACGAACCATCGAAAGAACGACCAAGAAACCACTAAAAGAACGACGGGAAAACTCCAAAAGAACGACGAAAGAGCCACAAAGAAGTAACAAATAAGCACTAAAAAACCACCGAAAAGCGACCGAAAAAAGAACGGGAAATAAGCACCAAAAAACGACGCAAAAAAATTGATCGCTAGGGTCTTACAGGTAGACCCGTTACTTCTTACCCGGGTTGACATAACTGCAACCCGATGCCCGACCCACCCGCGGGTGACTCGGGTGATGCCTATCCGGGTCCAACCACTCTGGTGATCCGGTGGGTGGACCGCAGGTCACCTGAATTAATAAGCTGGATGTTGCAAATATAGAGTTAGAATATTGTCATATTTGAACTTAATAAATGCCGTGTTTGATTTAATTTTATATAAAATTATATATTTTGAGTTTTTTTTTTTTTTACTTATTTTACAAGCGTAGCAATACATTAAATTCTTATGTATTACATAGTAGTTATTATGTATTTCTAGTAGCAAGGAATCAATGGAACTCTGAAAAATTATCATTGGGTCAGTAGTACGAGATACAAATTCAAATTCAAATAAAGGGGATCCTTAAAGATAGGTAAACCACGAAATTATCCGTATACAGTACAGTAATTTAAGATCCGGTAAATATTACTAGGCTTCTTTAGTACGTGTAGTACGCGCACATATCCCTGGTTGAATGCAGAAATATGATACTTTCAAAGCATCTTCGCTGGCAAACAGCACTTAAGTGTAGTGGGCCTTCTGTAAGTCGCACTTGAAAAACTTTCGTCACTTTTAGGAAAATCGCCTGAATGATATATCTTAAAATCCAATGAAAAAAAAATAGATCTATCTGTATTTTTATGGTTTACAATTAGAGAGATATATACTGTATATACACTATCTTGTAAGTTTATTGGATGACAAGAATTGTCATTCCATTTTTGTACAAACTAAACACATCAGACATTTGGATAAGATTTAAACGAAAATTTAATGAGTATGTTAAAACGTTCTAATATAATGTAGATTTTATTAACTAACTTTGTTATAACTAAACTATCTTATATTTTCATTAAATTTTACATGAACCGAAAGCCAGAAACATCTGCTAATTTTATCGGACAATTTTTAAAAGGTACCGTGTGCTACTGTATGCAATCGAATTATGTGTAGGATTTTATGGATCTTGGTTTTTTTTTATTTTTTTATTTAAATATATGCTATAATAATTCTTATAGTATATACCTCTAACGGTTTTAATAACCTCTGTTAAAATTTTGAAGAATGGTCGTGGCAGAAAAAATTCGCGATCAGGTGGTTTTTGATCCTCGAAATGCAGCCAGGATGTAGTATCAACATACAAAATTTATGTAAGAGTATAGGTGGATTTGATTGGGTTTATATTTTCAAATTAAAGCCTCCAGATTTCAGCATCATCCGCGACACGTATTACAGTATTATTAATGTTAAATTTATTAATTAATTGATTGGGTTATAATCACCTGATCGTGAATTTTTTATGCCGCGACTATTCTACCTAAATTTTGTAAAGACCAATAATATACAACTACAAATAAGGCATTTCTTTATTTGTACATAAATAAATTTTTTTAAAAAGGCCAAAAGGAAAGACTGAATCGAATCATGTTCGTAGAGATGAAATATCGTTCTTTCAAATACTACACAACTATTAAGCTGTAAAAATTCGCGTCAATATTCAATTCTGATTGGTTGGAGGATGCAGATCATCACGCGGTTCAGATAGAATCTCACATGAGCGACATTTTTTCGCAATAGAAGAATAACTGCTATAAAGTTCCGTCAATATTACGTTCCGAGACAATGATCTTCAACAAACGCTAATCACATAACTGTTACAGTCGTGAATTTACCTGGCGATACTATCATACCAATTGAATTGTATAAAACATCGGTATGCACCCTCCTGCATATTACAAGAAAGAACTTTGTAGAACCATTTAATTTTTTTTTATTTTTTTTAAGTACGTACGCACATACCTTTCAACCCTAATGGCAACAAATACAACTTCATTACAAACGTTTTTGTCATGGACAAGAGGTAATTTAGATTCGTTTTTACCAGTAACTTTAAAATATGCTGAAAATATAGTAACTACAGTACAATACACAACAATGCAGAGAATGGTGTAGTGTCTGATAATATCATTGTTCAGGAAATTCCTGATAAAGGTTTAGGTTTTGTTTCAAAACATCAAGCTGCTCGAGACAATTCGATAGTGGCATATATCCCTTTTCATCTTTTACTTAACACGACAAAAGTTGGAAAATACGCTAAAGAAAAAGCTCCCAAACTTGAGCAAACATTTCAAGCTATGTTAAAAAATGGTCAATCTATGACAGAACGTATAGTACTTATATGTTTTTTATTATATGAACGTTTCGGTCGCCTTGCATGCGGAGAGGAACCATCCTTTTGGAAACCGTATGTTGACATTTTACCACATACTCTTCATACACCATTGTTTTATGATAAAACATTAAGAGATTGTTTAGATGGAACAAGTTTAAAATCGGCTGTAGACGCAAAATTTAATAAACTTCAACGTGAATATAAATTACTCCGTCCATATTTCAATCAATGGTCTGCGCAATCTTCAACAACTGATAATAATGTGAATGATGGTCATGAAATTATTACACTTGATCATTTTATATGGGCAGATGGTGTATTTTGGTCTAGAGTATTATCTTTTGGTAGTCGTCTTACATCTGATAATAATTTAATCGGATCTGATTCTGATGATTACCATTTAGTACCATTTCTTGATTTTGCTAATCATTCTTTAAGACCATACGCTCGATGGGAACTCACAGCAGAAGGTGTTGAATTAATTCTTACGAAAGCTGATTCTCCTGAACCTATTATTCCTGAAACTGAAATTTGTATCTCATACGGTGATAAACCGAATTCTGAATTATTATTTGTTCATGGATTCACATTAAGCGATAATCCTTGGTCCACAATTTCTTTTCCTGTACCATTCTATGAAAATGATGAATTCGAAGAAGAGAAATTTATATTTATGCAATATCATGGAATCAAACCTCTAGTTTCACTTATTAGAAAAAAAAGTGGGGCTGAATTAACTCGTGTTTCAACCAGGGCAATGTGGATAAGTGTTTTAAGGAAAGAAGATGGATTAAAATTTACAAATGTAATCAATGAATCTAATGAATCACAACCAGTAAATTTAATGATTGATGATAAAATTATTCGAACTGTTGATGAGTTAGATAATGCTGTCACTGAATCACCCCAATTTCCAGTAATTGAAGGACGAATTATTAATTGTATTTTAGAGAACGTTGAAAATCTTTTATCCCACCTCAAACAAACTAATGAGAAAGTTTTGAAAATGATGGAAAGTGGCAAGAATTCACGGGAGTTAGAATATATTAGAATATATAGAGAGGACGAATATAAATTTTTGGAATATGCTGTGGATGATTTTACAAGAAAACGCGATTCTCTGTTACCAGATGAATACGATACATAATTGAATAGGTAATATCGATACATCTATAATTTTTTTATTAAAAATAATGGATTTGTTGATTGATAATATACGTTTATGGTACCACCTATAGTTGTATATACAGTGTTCAAAATTTGTTAATTTTTTGTAATAAAACATATAGAGACCGAAAGGTTTCTTGCTATTTAAAAGTTTACAAAAAAAAACCGCAATTCGAAAAAAAAAATCCTGCTATCTCGAATTTTCAATAAGAAACTAGCTTTTATGTTTTAACAAAAAAAAAAAAACAAACATTCCTCGCAAAATTTTGGTATAGATATATTTATTTATCTAGTTACCTATTATTGATTTAATCAAAGCTTCAACGTTAAAAGGCGTTAATGAATTTTTCGTTTTTAGATGAAAATGAGCGTGAATTACAAGTCTATATATTGCATTCAGCATGATTACTTTGATTGAATTATCTGTTGAAATGTAATATTTCACAACTGCAAAAATGAATTCGCTACCATAAGATTAAAAAGGTAATTTTAATTTGTAATCTATTTAAGTAGCTCTTCTTGTGGAGCATAGTGGCAAAGACGCTGAGATATACACATAGTGTTCTTTAAACTCTAATACTGTATCTAATTTACAGCTTATTTTTAGTATTTTTAGTATTTAGTGTTCAATGTTTTACAAAATTTTTTTCTCATTCGGGTGAATAATTCACTAATTAATAGGTTAGGGTTAGGATTTGGGTTTGGGTTTAGATTTAGAGTAAATTTACGTAAAGATCATTTTTGTTAGCTCGAATGTGGGTGAGAAATATCAAAACTCACCCGGATTAGGAATACAATAAATTACTATTTTTATTTAAAATTTATAAAGACTTTATGTAATAAAGATATTTTAATGTGTATCTACTTAAATTTAATTTTATAGATTTTTGCAATTAAAATAAAAAAAATTTATTGAATTTGACTAGGTAAATACTACAGTAAAAACATTTTTAATTAAAGTTTGTAAAAATTTTTTTTATTTGATATGTAAATCCAGTATTTAAAATTTACACAAATTTTAAAGAATTTTAATATTTATTTAACCAAATCTAATACTTTTTTTATTTTAATTGCAAAAATCTGTAAAATTCAAACAAAAAAAATTTATCAATTTGGTCAGGTAGATGTTGAAATCTTTAAAAAAAATTATATACATTACAGTATCAAAAAAAAGTGGTTTTTTCTTGAATTTTGATTAGCTAAGAATTTTCTTTAACCAATCAGATTTGCAGAATTTTTTAATTAATATTAGCCTTTTTTGTACGTAACCTTTGTTAGATATGTTAAATATTTCGGAGTCTATTCTTTAAAGATTTATTTCTTTATTAATTAAACTAATAAACCCTTAGAATTAGAACGAACATTAGTCACGTGTTAGCTGTGGCTAGAATCCTATTGTCTGATGTCATTATACCGTCGTGTGTTCAGGTACCTTGTGATATTTTCTTCTTGTTTCACAATTTATTCAGCCCAAAAAGAAGTCCGTTAGCGTTAAATAAGCTGACTTTACTCCTGCTTCGTCTATCGTTATCACATTATCAAAAGTAACAGGCCAAAAAAAAAAAAAAAAAAAAAACCCCAAAACACCCGCGTCTTTTCTTCACGAAACACAACGTGGCTTTTTGACTAAACGCAAAAAAAAGACTAGCCTCGAATATATTTTAGAATTACTTGTACTGAACTTTCTTTACTTTATATTATAATTTTTTATAATGGCTTCCCGTAAGAAGGTTCTTCTGAAGGTACTCGATGTCATTTGTGATCTATGAAGTTTTTCTCTTTCTTTCAATATTATAATTGACTATATCTAAATAACTAATAATATCGAATGTTTTTATATTTATCTTTATAGGTTATTATTTTGGGAGATAGCGGGTAGGTTAACTTTCATATATATGATTTTTAGCTTGAATACTATTCTATTTTCTATGTTAGAAGTATAAAATCCCAATTTTATAAGGACTAGATATTATGGCAGCCAAAAAAAAAAAATTTTTTTATAAGTAATTCGTTTAATGAAGGCCTTTTGTAAAAATGATACCTTTAGAATAACGGTTAATAATTGAAAGGTTCTTCAAAATTTGAATTAATCAACTTAAGCTCAAATTTTGTTTCAATTCTTTTTTTCATGAGTTTAGTGTAGGCAAGACATCGTTAATGAATCAATATGTCAATAAGAAATTCAGCAATCAATATAAAGCTACCATTGGCGCTGATTTTTTGACCAAAGAGGTCATGGTTGATGATCGCCTTGTGACGATGCAGGTTTGTATTACATAGATCGCATTTTATTTTATATTTCGATTTTTTTTAATTGTCTATAGAAGTTTGTCCTTTAATTTGACAAGATTTGGGATACTGCGGGTCAAGAACGTTTTCAGTCGCTAGGAGTTGCCTTCTATCGTGGAGCCGATTGTTGTGTCCTTATGTTTGACGTTAACAATGGCAAAAGTTTTGAAACGTTGGACAGTTGGAGGGACGAATTTTTAATTCAGGCCTCTCCACGAGACTCTGAAAATTTCCCTTTTGTAGTCCTGGGTAATAAAATTGATCTGGAAGAATCAAAAAGAATGGTATTTTATATTTTAATTCGTTGGATATCAACATTAAAAGTTTATAGTTGATCTTTGAAATAGCCTCTTAATGTCATTTTACTGTTTTAATGATCTCTAATCATATATTTCTTTATCAGGTTTCTCAAAAACGTGCTATGACTTGGTGTCAATCCAAAGGAAACACACCTTATTTTGAAACAAGCGCAAAGGAAGCCATTAATGTGGAACAGGCATTCCAAACCATAGCTAAAAATGCTTTACAACAGGAGACTGAAGATATCCTGTATGTTATTAAATTCATAGGCATACGCTGTTATTAATTTCTTTTTTTTTTTTTTTTTAGTCTTATTTTTTTTTATTTCTGTTAAGCTACAGTGACTTCCCGGATCCGATCAAAATTGATAGTGATGCAAATAAATACGAGGCTTGTGGGTGCTAGGGTATCATATTTTTATGTAATTTGCTTTAGTTTCGGTAAATCAGATTTCATGTAATACGATCACGTGATGTGTAAAGTTCATATTATTTGTTTTTGCTTAATTTATTGTGACATAAAAGTTGTCTTTAAATAAATGTCATATAACCGTATATAAAAATTAAATAAAACAAAATATTTTTATATACCCGTATATCTAATTAAATTTGGCTGTTTCATGTTTAAATTTAGTTATATTTTATTTTTTGCTTTTTTATAGCTTTGCACTAACTTTATTAGAAATGTTTATATAAATAATACATACAGTAAATGTTCTAATTACTATGTTTGGCTATTACCTGGTTTTCTTAGAAACTTACAAAAATTGTTCCCTCTTGTAATTTTTACCGAGAATAAACCGGTATAATTTGGGTTAGGGTTTAAGGTTAGGACGGTAGAGTTTTTATTAGTAAAATTTCATGAAGAGCGTTTTTAATTAGGCCGCAGAAGGTGGTTTCTTGAAATTTGATTACGGAAGGGAACAATTTTTGTGGGGGTCTTCTTAGGCGCCCAGGTATGGCTATAGTACTAATGTTTACTATTGTTATACTTTATACACTATTACACATAGTGTATAATGTTTAACAGTATTGTTAGGTACTTGGTTATCTTTTTGGTTACAAGTTCAGATATTGTATATTAATTAATTTATCAACTATATATTTTTTAATATTAATTTTATTTTTGTTTATTTATAAGTAATACAGTAATAAATATGATATAATATTTTTTTACTATATATTTTTTTTGTATTGTTTATAAGTAAGGCCATACAAAAAAAATTTCTTGGTTTACATAGCCTGGCCGGGTCCAAAAATTAAAAATTAAAAATTTTTTTATAAATTAATTGTATAATAGATAACTTGACAATTTAATTGCTAAAATTTAAATTTGTTATTCTTTTAAATAAATTTGTGTTTATATACTTAAAAATAAATATTATTTACAATTATTTTATTCATATTAATTTATTTTATTTTATAGATCTTATTTATAAATAATTATTTATATATTTATTATTATCTAATGCCTTTCAAATTATTTTAGAAGATTTATTCACTATTAACAAATACCTTTTCATTGTATTTATCAGTTTATAAGTATAAAAATATTTATTTATCAATAGAATTATAAATACTTATTTATCAATAGAATTATAAATACTTATTTATCAAAATATTTATTTATTATATTTAATACTCTTCAAATGCTTATTTACTACTTTACAATTACCTTTAAATTATTTATTTATATTAATTTAATCTATAAGTATAAAGATAATTCAATAATTTGATATATATGTATATTTATTTATAAATTTTTTTTTTTTAAAAAAAAAATCTAGATAGCCAGGTTAAAAATTTTATTTTGTTATGTAAACCAAAAAAAATTTTTTTGTATAGCTTAATGATAAATATTATATAATATAGTATTTTTTATTATATATATATAATATATTTTTTTTTTATATGCAAAAAAAATTTGATTAGTTAGGGGGCTGACAAATATTAGCTCATTATACCTCCCCTGGGATTTTTACTTAATCCCACCCAGAGTCAGTCATTTGACTCTGGGTAGGATTAAGTAAAAATCCCAGGGGAGGTATAATGAGCTAATATTTGTCAGGCCCCTTATTATACTGTATATAAATTTATACTACAGTATATATCTGATATAAAGTATATACTGTATACTGTATTTTATATAAAATATTAAATATTTTTTTTAAATATTAATAAACATATATATAACATTTTACTTATATATAACTAAACTTAATTAATGGCTATCTATTTGCTATAATAAATTTAGAATTAAATTTTGAAAAATTTTTCTTATTAACTTTAAATTAAATCTATATAATTTAAATTTATATTTTATTTAGTGCTTGGCAAAATCGAACTTTTGTTTTTAAATCAATTTGCTGTATTGATTAAAAAGTCATCCCAT